AGTCTAAAGACAAGCTCAGATATCAGAATAATATCTATAAATGCCGTTTTTGTGGTAAAACAGAATATATTATATTACTATGAGTTATTTACAATGTTTTTATTGTGAAATATAGATCTTATACGAATATTTATTATCCCTTTAAAATAAAAGAATTAAAGATATCAATAATGAATAAAGCATTTGAAAACTACGATGAAAGGTCGCTCAATGGACGCAGAGAGGACGCGCAGGCATCGCCGACTTCGCAGAGATGCACAAGCAACGCTTTTGTTGCAAAATGAAAACCCAAAGATAGTCCAGTGTTCGACACGAATAATGTTATTTTTCACTCTCAAACGGGGCCGTGCTGAAATACTTTTCACCCGACAGGAATTCTTAGGGCAACAGTGGTCTCATATCAGCCTCCAATTGTTTTTTCCCCTAAAATTCATGAACCGATCCATTTTTTTTGGAGGTAATTATAAAACGAATATTTTGCCTTTTTACAAGATGCAGTAATTGTCAAAACTTTTTGCAGAATACGTCATCTGAAAACGGATTCAAACATTTGATGTTGTGTCAGTCATACTTTCTCGTTATCAGCGCCTGTCCATCCTTCTTATAAGAATAACAATGAGCATCTGGTTGATTATAACAGTCCATGCAGACCTTGCCTCACTGTAGTTTAAAAAAGTTTATTCCCATTCATTTGTTTTGTTTGCTAGAAATGTTTTAAATTGGATGACCTGGTTAGAACCGATGAAAAATATGAGTTAGAACATATCGACAGACGCCCAAACAACGCTCATCGGTCAAGTAGGATGCAGAATGATCGTAGAATGGACGCCACTGATAGCCGGTGAAGGTACAGAGAACGCAGCAAGAATGCTCAATGATCTCTCAAACAACGCAATGGACGCCGTGGGATGCACAGGGGAGGCAGGCCGGTCGCTCACTGGATGCACAGGTTGCTCGCAGTTTTATAGGTAAAATCAAGATTCGGTCGTTCAAAGGACGCATAGCGACCGTTGAGTGTCCTGGCCACATTTTTGATCGCAGAAAGGACGCGGAAAGGACGCCGTCCAGTGTAAAGGGGCCTTTACATGTTACCACTAGCAGGCAAAACCTTACCTGACTTGCTTAGCATTTCTAGCGGGCGTTATTTAATTGTTTTTAAACTAAACAAACTAATTAATTTCAACTCAATTTGCAATGTTTATCATGTACGTGGTAAATTCCTTAGCTAGAAGGTATAATCCTCCTCACCAATCAACTTACTTACTTAGGACCTCCTGTCCAACGTAGTAGCCTACATTGGGCGGCAAACTTTGCCAACTTGTCCGATCGGCAGCGGCCGTCTCTATCTCCTCCCACCTGATGTTGCCTCTTTGCCGATCATTCTGGAAGGTTCTCCTCCAGGTTATCCTCGGTCTACCTCGTTTGCGCTTGCCTCCAGGTGGTACCCAAGTCATAGCCGTTTTTGCATGCCTCTCAGTTGGTAATCGAATAAAGTGTCCTGCTAATTTTATCCGACGAATGGTGACTGTTTCATGCAATGGTCTTTACTTTGCATTCCTAAGCACTTCTTCATTGGTGATATGGTCTCTGTATGAGATCTTCATTATTCGACGTAGGCACCTCTGATGAAAAACATCCAATCTTTTGTTCACTTTCACAGTGCTTTTCCATTTTTCGCTAGCAAAAAGTACAGTTGGTAGTGCGTTATAAAGGCGTGTCCTCAGTTGTGTGCTTATTGTTGTCGATTTCCAAATATTGTTAATTTCTCTATTCTTCATTCACCAATCAACAGCAGATGTTTAAAAATGAATTGTAGTAAAATTATCATTGTGTGTAAGTGACGGGTTTATTACAAAGACGAAAAAGGGTCGTTTTTATTTTTGATATTATTCAGTGTGTATTAAAGATAGAAGGAAGCATGTACACTTGTAGAAAAAAGAAATGCAGATATAAATGTGCTCTGTGCTCGTAGAATGCATTAAACAGGAAGGACTATTAACAAGCAGGTAGTATTTGTCATTACAACAAAAGATAATTGCTTTATTACGTTGAGTTGTGTAATAATGATTACGGAAATGTTTGAAACAGAAAATACCTTGCTGGGACCATATATCTCATGTCGACGTTATTCCGTATGTGTCCTTGTTGAAGACTGATGATATTTGCCTGGTAGCAGAGAGAATACAAATGGAAAACTGGGGTGAATTATCTTAACTTTGAAAGTTTTAGGCATATTTTAGAAATGTTGCGAGTATTATCACATGTGTTCTAAAGATAATACATGACTGCACGATCTGATTTTCTCAATATCCAGGGTTCCGTTTTCAGTAAGATAAGAAATAAAATATAGTGAAAATTAAAAGTCCAAATTTGTAACTTATGGGTAAAATAAAATGAAAGTTAAAAACAACAATAATTTTGTCAATAAGATTTCATTTATTTAGAAACTAATCTCAATTTATTTAGAAAAAAACTCTACTTTGTTTCAATAACACGTCGAAAGTATGATAATTTAGTTACAAAGTTTTGGGCTGTAGTCGTCAATCAAGGTCATCACTCACGTGCCACCTTTGACACACTTTTGATGGCATTCATTGGACAGCCGCGTCATGTTTTCCACCAAAACCACTTCTACATATGTAGTAGTCTGTTTTTTTTTTTTTAATATACATGCATATTTACTTTCATCTGTGTTCTAGCTTCTGCATTATATTTGAAAAACTGACTAACCTACCGGCAGACTGGTTTTTCGTCGTCGTAAAAGACGCAGGTGCCTTCATTATAACATTGTAGGCAACAGCCTCCCCCTAACCATGGATATATCTTCTAAAACTTCATATCTTATTCAAAAGGAAAGATAAAATCGTATGTTAAAAGATACAGTTTCAATAAATAAATGAATAAATATACAAACAAATAAATAAATAAATACATAAAAACAACATGTAATGTCAAGAAATAATATGAAAAGATGATTTGATGCAAATGACACTTGAAGAAACGGAAAAATATGCTAGTACATATATACATGCTGTCGAACACTGACAAAGAGTTTGTCAACGTGTGAGCACATTTTGCAGTGGATTTTCCTGGTTCTTTTTTCACATTCTCACACCAATTCAAAGTCTTATTAGTCAAAAGCAATACTTTAATGAAACTTTCTGTATTTCTCGGTACAGGTACATGTTACGTACAGTTGGTGCATGTTTTCATGCACTTCCCAAGAGACGCTTTTGCTCCAATTCCACCTCCGCACTGCTTTTCTGAGACACGTTGTCAGCGAAGCCTTCAAGACCGTGTCGCCACCTCTAGGCCGTACTGCCCACATCCCTCAGAATCGCTGACGCCTTTGTGAGAGCTGTGAGGTGTCCAAGAGCTCCAGGCAGCGTAAAGCTTGTGAGACTGGCTTGTGTTTCGTAATGAAAGTGCACTGAAAAGAATAAAATGAAATTAGAACACGGTAGTGTTATACATTTTGTCTTGATCAAATCTAAAATCAAAGAAGAGAAGCTAGATTACATGTAGTAACAATGGTACAGTAAAGCAATAAATCTAGATGATAAATGCCCACCCATTTTAGAAGGCGGGAGTGAAAGTAGACACATTGGAGACTCCAAAATCATGGACATACTTATGCTTCATTACCGTCATTTGGCTCTTTTGATCTCTTCCAACAAAAACACTTACCATACCTGAGATGATCTGGTTTTACCCATTCCCAGGGTTGAACGTTATGTAACCTTCCGACTCAGAGAATATATTCATGTTCAGGGCACCTAATGTAAATATAGCCTGCCAGCACTCAGGTTTAGTAACATTATTTACCGGTCGAGCATCATTAGAAGGACATGAGCAGAATAGAATAAAAACAACTTTAAGCCCGTGTACATGTATACAGATGTAATTCACAGACTTTTGTATCATTATTCACGCTAAATAGATTTGATGCACGCAGGAATTAGTTCGGTTCCCTTTAAAAATCAGGCCTCTCAGATAGAGAGGGGGAGAGACCCCGGAGAGACCGCTGACACTGCTCCTGCCTGCGTGCCGAACCTGTAGCCCGTAAGCAAGAATAAAGACTTTAAATCTTAACACTGGCTGCTGCGTTGTTCCGTTGATTGCTCGCGATACCGAGAAAACAGTATCCAACCACGGTTACAAAATAGTGTGAGTAAACACTTTTGCTTTTTGACAAATGATTATGATTTTATTGCGTAATGCTTTGTATAAATGACTAAGGAAACGTTTGAAACAGAAAACATCTTGCTGCGACCATATTTCATTGTAATTTATAGTATATGTTTCCGTACTGACGATTGTTCGAAAGAAAAATAAACAAACTGTATTAATCCGATTATTGGGAGAGGAAGAAAACTAATAGATAGTAAGTAGTAAGCACGTATTACCAGTCAGAAAATTAGCGATATGCCAAGTGCATGTCTTTTAATGATGTGTGTCAAACACAGCGTTATGTGAATTTTTTACTCAATATTCAAATGCAATGAATCTTATTAGATTTCTGTAAAAGACAAACACGGCAAATCGGTCTGGTTTTCACAATGGATGACAGGGGAGACTTTTAATAAGATAAGAAATGAAATAAAATTAATTAAAATACTGATTAATTAAAATAAAAATAAATTATAAATGAAATATGATAAAACTAAAAGTTGAGGAAATTAAGGAAAAAAAACATTTTGAACAAAATTTAATTTACTTCAGTTGAAGTTAAAGAAATTAACAGATGTGAATGCAAATTTTATCTTGTATGTGACAATTAGATACCAGAGAGTAAGATTGCTTTCATCAAATAAGACGCTTTGACAAATGATAATGATTTTATTGCATAACGCTGCGTGTTTATGATTCAGGAAAAGTTTGAAACAGAAAAGATCTTGCTGGGACCATATTTCATGGTGATCTGTTTTTGTTTACTGGCTGGAGATAAACAGTCATTTGTTTGCACAGAAGTGTATAAATAGCGCCTTGGGATGCGTAAGATAGCAAGTCTCTTAGAAAAGAAGATTTCATTCTTCTGCTAAGACAACTTCCATCGGAACAATGAAGTCGTGCGCTCTTCTTGTGCTCTTGGTGCTCTTTGCCACTGTTGTCATAGAAGGTGAGTGATATGAAGCACTTAAGATGATATGAAAAGTAAGAGTAAAGAAATAACTCACAATTGAGACCGAGATCCAGGCAGACAGTACCTCCGCTTAAGCGAGATTTATTTAGAAATGTTACATTTTACGAAACCTGAACAGAAGAGGCCGTGGCTAGAAAGGCATCAAATAAGATATTCTTAAAATGTAACATATATGATACATAAATTATAGCATCCAAGGGAATGACGTGACAGTATTCGGTAATTCAAACATTGCAGATAGGCAGTTGTGAATGCTTAATATAATGGGTCAATCCTATGCTTTTTAAACGTTACTTGACACAAACAAGTGTACATTCATTTACATTTCTATAAATCATTTTGATACTGTTGTTAAAAGATAGCTTGATAGGTGTTCAAAATAATTTTATTCTTTTTTTTACACGGTGAATCTGTTCGTTGCAGATCATTCTCAGAAATTAGTTAAATCCAAACAAATGTTTTTTTTTCTTTTCTTTGTCACCAGCCAAAAATGATACTAAGAAATTTCAAGGGACCTTGACCAGGAAAATGTGACTGGAGTTCAAACTGGTGCCGCGAGTTTTGTTTCGTGTTACTTGACTTCACTAGCATTTGGATTTAGCAATTTCATGCAAAATAAATCCCCGTGGACTTTAAGTAACATGCTCATTGTTACCCTTTATTATTTATATTTTATATAGAAACATCCAGCCAACCTAACCCTGCAGTGTTTGCAACCGCTGTGGCATGTATGTCAAAGCGTGAAATTGAACACATGGACTTGAACAATAAATATTTGTTCCTCTCTGTAAATTTATATCATTAGCATCTAGAAATTTCACTTAAAATACTTTCCTTGTGTCTTTCAAAAATATGCTAATCTTTGCCATTCATTTTTCAAATAGATACATCCGGGCAACCTAACCCTCCATTTTGCAACTGCTGTGGTCACAGGTGTCCCATCTTTCATGGGAGATGCTTTTGTTCCGGAAGACCTCCAAACTGCCACTGTCCTGCGAAAGATCTCCCAAAATAAAAAGGTGCTGTGTTCAGAGTGTACAAAGAAATATTTTCAAAAATGCAAATCCACAGAAGAGACCTGTTTCACATAAAAGATACTATTATTGTGCCACACGGTGATTATTAAAACCAAGTAGTAAATTCCGCAAGTCAATCGGGTGACATTGTCTTGAGAGTGAATTATAATAATGGCTCATAAAGCAAAGGGAAACTGGGATACTGGCATCACAGAAAACTTCTTTAATGCCCGACGGTATAAGTATAAAAATCGAAAATAAAAACGTGAGGAACGGTCTTTTCAATTCTTGAGAGAGAGAGAGAGAGAGAGAGAGAGAGAGAGAAAGAGAGGGAGAGAGGGAGAGAGAGAGGGAGAGAGAGAGGAAGGAGAAGGGTGGGAGGAAAGGGAGAGAACCAGGTTGCGCTTGCGTATGTCATATGTTTCTATAGGCATTTATTTCCATTTTATTTTGTGATATAAACTAATGCAAGTTATATAATAAACATTCAAATAAGTGAATAAAAAATGAAAACAGTAGCTGTAAATGGTCAATTTAATGCAACGGTTCATTATTTAACAGTTTATAATTACAATAAATTTTGTTTTCAGAATAGCCTCCGTTGAGATGAAGTATGACCAGTTGAACTAGGGAACAAAACAGATAACAAGTCACTCAGCTTAATGTAAAGCTGCTGTATTTGGACTTTGTTTGTGAATTTTGAATTTTAAGTAGTCACAATAAAGTTTGTAGTAAATACGCCGTAGTTACTGCATTGTTAAAGCTCGAATTCTACTGTCTTTGTCGATGTTGGTATGCTTCATACGCACATTGCACAAATTACCCATCTCTGTGAAATGTTGAGGCTCTTTCATTTATTTCATAAACATGAATAGAAAAGTAAACTTGTCAAGTTCGCTTCATTAGAATTAAATGCATTATCATCAGTCATAGGCTAGGAATTTTACCCACACGTTAGAAGTAAGCCACATGATAAATAAATAAATAAATAAATAAATAAATAAATAAATAAATAAATAAATAAATAAAAAGCCTATGAGACACCCTTTTTTGAAATTCTTATAGCCAATTTTCAATTAGAACTAAATCTTTTCAGTATTTTCAAACAATTATACACCATATGTTAAATAAATTCATCAGAAATATTGCTACACAATTTAAAAAATTAAGGTTGGACGGCTATACCGTGCACATGAGTCTTAATGTTTCTTACAGTAAAGTTCAGATCATTCCATTTTCATGGAATATAGTGCCGCCAAAGCATTTCGAGTATCAAAATGTTTCCTGTTTTATTAATATAGATTATTACTCATTATTTGTCAAATTCCTTGCTTATAAATGGTGCCTACAGTTGTATTTCTGACACTTTTAAGCTACTCTTTTGATGTCATGTACAAAGATGTTACTGTATTCTCAATGTTTTTTGGTTAAATACTTAACAGAAATAAAAATGAAAGTCAGTTTGTCAAACAAATTAAATTTTTAAAAGAAATACAGCTCTACATGTAATTATTTTGTTGCAATTTGATATCGAAAAAAGTTTTCAATTGAACTTAAACATAAACGTCTGTTATAATACTAATAATAATAATAATAATAATAATAATAATAATAATAATAATAATAATAATAGTAATAATTGTAACGAAAATGCAGACATCCAATAAAAACAATATTACTTTCTACAAGCTCAGCTGGCTGCCATTCGGAACCAAGTTACGGGTAGGTCCGTGATTTTCAACAAATTACGACGCCTTGTATTGGTGAGTGATAACAAGCGGCTTAAACCTAAGTCACTACTCATTCAACCACCAGCACACATTTTGAAACGACCTGCGTGAAGAATTCTTAAGAACTAAACATTTACTTGCAAAATAATGAAATAATTAAATGCAAATTATTAAAACTTATCAAACACACAAAAC